TAACCGCATGCCCTGGTCTAGCCTCTCCTTTCCTTCAAACTACAACAATATCCTTTTTTGTTTTAATTTTCTCCATGTATTATGTCAAACAGTATATGGCAATATTCAATTCTAATTGTATGAATCCTATGTATAGCAAAGTAGCAAGGGTGTATAAAATTATAAATCATACTTTGGTATTTGAATGACAAAAATGTAAACATTTTAGGGTCTGAGCTGCTTTTCTACACAGAAACCTAATATATCAAGAGTTTTTTTAATGAATAAATAGGCTAGAAATTTCTTCACACATAACATACTTTATATCATGTTGATTTAAAAATGCAGCTGCAACAGCAAATAGATTGGGGTCAAAGAAGAAAATGTGACTTTAAAACCCACAAAGAAAAAGTTGAAATTACATTTACTTGATGTGTGAAAAACAACAGCCAAGATATTATATATGTGGAAGAACATGTAACACAGTGCTCCAATCGAGAATAAAATGAATAATGAATTAAAAACACTTTTGAAGTAAACAAACTATAAAGGCATATATCATATTAATGAGCACTCACTGTAAGGATGGTAGTCCTCTGCTGTGTAGATCTGAGTCCCATTTCTGTACAGTTTGTAAGCAAGCCAATTTGAATTCGGAGAATCGGGTGGATTCCAAGTGACTCTGATAGCTGAAGAATTTACAATCTGCCCTTTGGGGGGAGGCTGCTGGGAAGGAGCTAGATTAAAATGAAGATTGAAAGGGAACAATTGCCACAGTTTGATAAACTAACATGCTAAGGAAAAGATTCTTACCAAGCCCCCAAGTCTATACTTCATTAAGAAGGCCAAATAGAACAGAATAACTTGCCACAGGACAATTCAATGCTGTATTAATGGTTTCATTCAGCTTTTTTATTATTGGTGACCATGTTTTCATTGAAATTATTATAACTCTTGTATTTCTGAATTGATTTTATTTTATTATTATTGGCCATGGTTCTATCAAAATTATTTTAACTTTTGTATTTGCTGAATTGTTCTGTGGTGAGTTGTCCCAAGGCAAGTTAGCCATGGTGAGTTGGCCAGAGTGAGTTGGCCATGGCAAGTTGTCCCAGTCCATGTGGAAGTATATATGAAGCTCCTCCCTTCAAACCATGGTTGAAATGTAGAACAGTGGACATTTTCTGAAGCAACTGCAAGAGCCTGAGAAATGATGCTACTTTTTAAATGACTTGAAGAGAGGGATTTCATAAGTTGTTCCGTATATTCCTAATATAATAATTTATTAGTCAATTAACCATATTAGGACACAACAAATGCACCAGCTGACAAAGGGGTAAAAGAACGATAAATACACTAAAGTACAGAAAAAATATAGCAAATGAATGCATGTATACATGTGACCCTGATCTGTTCTATGTACTATAACAAGTTCTTAGCTAAAAAGCTTTAACTATAAACTTGACCGTTCTGCTGTCTACATATTTAGTACCCTAAAAGAGGTACGACAAATTACTGTTCAAGCCCAAGGTTTGTTTTGTCTATATAGTTGCAGCATATAATTAATATTTAAGCAAGACTTCTATATCTGAAGCTCAACAGATGCACTTTCTGTCATCATACAACACATAGTGAAATTATCCATACTTTATCATGAAGTCCAGCAACTCAAATCTTGCTCTGATAAAGGACTATTTTTTGTCAGGTATTTTCCTATTTGGAACATCATTTTATCCTGGCTATTTAAAAGATCTAGAACTTGCAAGGAACAATACATCACTTTCGGCACTAATACTCCAAAGTGTTTGAAGATTTCCTTGGCTTCATATTTGTAGTTACCAACAATAAATACTAATTGTGCTTTAGAGAGTAAAACTCATAGTCAGGGACAAAATAACTATTGCCTTCCTTTAGCATTACCATAGCATTGGTTTATACATGAACAAAATGTATCATATTTCAAAATAACTTCATTGTTTTTGGCTTCAAAGCTGACTTCCACATAACAATGGTCAGCACACTATCAAACAGATAAATCCATTTCACCTAAAACAAGGGTTCTATGTTTTTTTTTTTTACAGTCGTCCATAAGTTTGATCCTCGTTTAACTGTTAAGTATGAAGACTATTCCCAAAATAACAGATATAATACTTAGGCTCAGAATTGACCAGTTACCAAGAGCTAGGATGTTCTAACATAATTTTATTGTTTAATTAAAATCACTTTCCTTTTCTTATTAAAATAAGGGGCTTTACCAAGTACTAAATCAGTCAACTATATTAATCAACTCCAGCAGATTGAAGAAAATAGAGCCTTGTGGCTATGGTTGTCTGTATAAAAGAGTCTTTTCGGGCTTTTCTTCCTGGCATCGATAGTTAAAATTTAAATTTATATTCCTATTTGAGATTACTAGTCTACTTTTAAATTTTGAAAGTCTTTATACAGTTTGAAACACAATTATTAGCAAGTTTTTTATTATCATTATGAGTAGTAGTATTACTATTCTATCCCTTAGGCTTATATAGGAGAATCATTTAGTATTAACTCTTCACTTCCATAATAATCTATGTGAAACAAAGGCAATGACAGAAGGATGGGATGGGATGGGATGGAATGGAATGGAATGGAATAGAATAGAATAGAATAGAATAGAATAGAATAGAATTCTTTATTGGCCAAATAAGATTAGACACACAAGGAACTTAGCACAGAAACACTCTGTGAACTTGCATATTATAGAAATAAATTACATTTTTTTTAAAATAAAGTTTTATTTGGGTTTTCACACATACAAAATACAAGTAAAACATCTTTTTTGAAAATAGCATGGTCCCGGGTTGAACTTCTTTATACAGACACAAAACTCAATTTCATGCTCCTTTTTGTGTCTATTTCACATCTTATACTATTCTACATTTTCTATGTAGTTTTTCCCCTCTTTTAATTTTCTCAATTTTATTTTGATTATCTCATCTCAATTCAAATCATTATATTTATACTTTTGTCTGTTCTGTTTCAATTTCATATTATCTTTTCTATTGGAGTATGACACCTTTATATCTTTTAATTACATCCATTCAACTCTTATTTAAACTTCAATATATACCTTAAGTTTATGACCTTCAATATAATACATAACTTCCAATTGAATTCTGCTTGGTACATTCTTATAATACACAGTATATTCTTTAAAAAAAAGATTATAAATATATGTAATTATAAACCCTCATTCCATTTCAATTCAGTTCTATCATTAATAATCATTAAAATCTTAACATCTTTAGCACTTCTTTTCAATTAAATATCATATTTCCTTAAAGACACATATAATCTCCATAATTAATTTTTCCCTTACTTCTCTTCACATATGTTTTGTAAATCATTAAATATTCATTTTGTTACATTTATTTATTGACAAGCATTCCACTGAATTACGATAGCTATTTTATCAAACATTTTAATCATACATTGTTTCATATTTTCTAAAATTATTTCTGTTTCTAATATAACAATATTATCTTATGTACCTTTGCAGAATCCCTTTTTCCATTAAATTTTCACCCATTATCCCTAAATAGGCCCTGTTTCTCTATATTTTGTTTCTGTCCTTTATAACTTCTTTTCCTTTCTTTCTTCCCTCTCATCTTCTCCCTCCCCTTTTTACCCCCTTGTCTCTCTAGTTCTAATTCTCTCTTCTGCATTACCCTCTTCTGTTGCTTTCTAATTTTATACTTATTTTTCACTCTATTTTTTTTTTTGGAGTTGTTTTTCCCAATATTAAACTTTCCATTCTCTTTCTCCCCTTTCCGTTTTTTCTCCCACCTAAGATTACTTGTTCATTAAAGATGGCTTTTTCTTTATCACAATCTTTTTGTTCTGCAGGCATTTCTTGTTGTTTCTCATAATTCCAAATCTCCGTTTCTAAAAACTGAAATACGAAGCCAAAAGAACCTCTCCCTTCTTGTGCATCTTCTTTGTACTTTTTAAGTTGCATTTTCAGTTCTTTTAAAAGTGGAGGCATTTTAAACAGTTTTAAACAGCCACCCGATTGATTTTAGTCATTCAAAACAATAACCAAGAATCCAGAAATCATCAAGTAATCCAACTCAAGTCCCGAGTTATATCTTCTTATTTTTTTTCTGACTTTCTCTTCCTGGGGTTTTTGTTGCGATATTTCAGTTAAAACGTATCTTTTGGAAGTCTTGTTGAGATTTTGCTGTAAGTTCTTTTTAATTCCAGGCAGTCTCCTCCCTTCCAGATCCTGCCCTTTTATTCTTTTTCTCTCCTTTCCTGTTTTCAAAAACTTTTGATTATCCAGAAATCTTTATTATCCCTTTGACTTTTTATTTTCAGCATTAAATGCCTATTAATGTCAAAGTGGATTTTTTCCAATTTCTTGCTTAAGTCTCTTAGCTGTCCGTATAGGAAAAGGAGGAAAAAAAACACCAAATCTTTTCCCTTTTCTCTCTCCTTCACAGCTTAAAAATCCTCTTAGGGAACAATATTATTGTTTTTTTTTAAATAGTTTCAATTCCAGGGTACCTTATTTGTTGCTTTTGCTGTTTGACCCAGTCAACCAAAACTTTCTCTTCTTATCTTCCTCCTGCACAGTCTTTTCCGGTCAAGTTCTTCTTTGTGGTGGCCATTTCTGACCACCGCTGCAACTGCCTTCGGGAAAGGGAGTAATGGCCAGCTGGGGAGGAGAGATGTGGTTCTCCTCAACCCTGCAGGCAGTCTGCCCCCTCTTCACCACCTCTACGGGGTGGCTTAGCCCCCAAACCAGCCAGCTCGGTGCGCTCCAGCAGCGAGCACAGATCGAAGCCTCGCAGAGATGAGGTTTCAGTCTGTCATGAAGAAGCTCAAACCGGAAGTCTCCAGAAATAAATTACATTTCTATTTCTTCTACCTTAGTACAAATTTAAGAATTTCCTCCTTGACATGTTAGCTAGCACCATTTACTTATTATAGACTCTTTCTTTGGGATGAAAACCTATACACAAAAGATTTTTTTTCATCTTAGTTGTGGATAGGGTCATTGGAAGAGAGACAATAAAGAATAAATCTCTTATGAGTTCCTTGAAGGTGACCTCATCATTAGCAATGATAGCAGCATCTTTTTCTTTCTTTCTTTCTTTCTTTCTTTCTTTCTTTCTTTCTTTCTTTCTTTCTTTCTTTCTTTCTTTCTTTCTTCCTTCCTTCCTTCCTTCCTTCCTTCCTTCCTTCCTTCCTTCCTTCCTTCCTTCCTTCCTTCCTTCCTTCCTTCTTCCCTCCCATTTTGTGTCTGAATCTTTTTTTTCTTGCATTGGAAGTAGCATCAGCAAATAACATTTGAAAATTCCTTCCTTCCTTGACAATTCAGATTCTTCTGCACTTTCGTCTGTCAGTGCATTTCTTAAGAGCACTACTGATGCTATAAAGCAGCGCTATGCTCATAGTATTTAGAAAACTACTTCCTAATCTTTAAAATTTAAATTATACTACATTGTATTTTCCCAGTACATATTTCCATCAACTGCTTTTGATGTCAGTTTAATGTTAATCTAACAGAATACAAGGATATAGTATGAGAGTTATACTGATGAAATAGATATGATAATGTTGTCAAAGAGAAGGGTTTCTTTTTGTATGACTAATATATGTAATAATTAATTACTTTACTGCCACTATATAAGATTCTAATCTCCCTTAAAGAATAATGGAAATCACATAGAATTAGACAGAGGAAATCAGCAAGAAAGGAGAAATTATTATGTAAATCCAGGCAGACTAAATATTGCCTGCAATCTAATATGTGAACACAAGATCTTCAAGCATGTCAATAGCTATAAAATGTATCCAAAGCCTTGCTTTTATAAATTCAGAAATTGGAGCTACAACCAGTAATTCTGAGTTCATGATTATTACCTAGATATTATAGTAAGGTGGACAAGGAAGAGAAAACCTGAGACAGATTCCTTTTATAAAACCATGAATATTATTTTAGAATAAGTACCATGTCTGTAAATGCACAATCAACCATAACTGGGAATAAATATTTCTACATGTTTAAGTAAATGGATGATGATGTTCTTTTAGTTGCACTGGACCTGGGTATGTTTGCAGAAATCCTGATACTGATATGGAACCTATGTGCTCCTTTGATTGTCTGGATGGTAATTTAGAGGTGTGCCAAGTTTTAGAATTCTATTCAGTTCTGTAAAATATACGGCTGAGTCCTGATATAATGGACTTCTTAGTCCTGAGAAAAAGAATGACAGTTTGCAAAATATTACAAGTTCATTGCATCTGCACATTCCTCTTTCATCTGGAAAATGAGTAGCCATCTCCCCACTGCATCAACAAGTAGATAGCAGGAAAATCTAGGAATGTCCACCTCACTTAAAAGTAAAGAGTCGCGATGGCACAATGGTTAGAATGCAGTACTGCAGGCTACTTCTGCTGACTGCTGGCTGCCTGAGTTTGAATTTCACCCGGCTCAAGGTTGATTCAGCCTTCCATCCTTCCGACATGGGTAAAATGACCAGATTGTTAGGGAAAATATGCTGACTCTAAACTGCTTAGAGAGGGCTGGAAAGCACTGTGAAGCAGTATACAAGTATAAATGCTATTGCTAATTGGGGTGCTAAAATAAAAGCTTCCTGGTACCATGTTTTCTGTACTTTAAATCCATTTCTTCCTCTCAATAAATCCAGTTAATAAGAGTTGGTAAGAATCTAGTTTTCTTTTTAATTAGTGGCTGCTAGGGTCTTGACACTTGTAACATTTCTATTCAGAGGTAGCCCCATTGAACTCAATGAAACATTTTTTGTAAGCATGAATAGGGTCATGGCAATGCAGGCACCACCAGGAAGTACTCTTGTGAAAGTCTTTTTTAAATAATTTGAAATCATATTCATGTGTTTTTTCCCCCAATACCTCTTAGTGTATTTTGCAAATATACTAAAAAAGCTGATTTATATTTTATTTATTTGTCAAATTAATATTCTACTTTCAACAGCTCAAATTTAAAAATTAAAACAAAAGCAAAAAAACCTTAATGACTAAAAGAAAAAGAAGCTGAGAATCCTAAACAGCAAATAGGAGTGTTACACCCTCTATGGAAGAATTCCATGTACACCTTATTCTGGACAGCAGATACTGTAATGTCAGAGGTAATTGAATTTCTAATGGGAGGCCATTGCAGAATAATATCCGTAACACAGAAAAGGAACATTTCTGGCCTTCAACACCCTTAATTTTATGAGATGGAAAATAACCATGTGCTTCTCCTGGTACAATCAAATTGGTGAGGATTATTCCTTGCATTTTACTTGGGAGCCAAGTCAGAAAATACATAGTTTATATCAGTGCAGGCCAACAGTACAGATGTAATGTAATAACTACTATTCAGCATCCATGCCTCTGAATTTTACAGCAAATGAAGCTTCTGGTTTATCTCTGAATGCAACTCCATGTGAATGCAACCCCATGTGTAAATAGGAAATGGTGAGAGCCTGAGACATTGTAATAAGGTCCTTACATCGCAGAGAAAGCCACAACTGGTGCACCAGCTAAAGCTCAGCCAAAGGTCCCTGACTTCCACCTGCTAATGAGTAGGGCTTCCACCTGCTAATGTGTAGGATCCAAAAGTCCAGGAGGGTTTCCAAATAGTGGACCCACTTCTTCGATGGTAGCTCAACCAGAGTGGGACTGTAGGGGAACCCTGATGTACAAATAGTATATCTGTTTTGCTAGGGTTCAGTTTAACCTTTATTTTTCCCATCCAAAAGTCACAGAATCCAGGACAAAACTTTCAGTGTATTCACATTTGCTAGTAGTGTTACTGTAAACTTGTAGCAGAAGTAGCATTAGTAATCACAGGTTTGGTTTCCTAGTCTAGTCTATCTTGAAGGGCTGACATTGGCCTTGCAAATCTCAGTATATATCTCCCCTCCCTCCCTTTATTTTCATGAGAATTAGAGAGGGTCAAGTCTGAGATATTCTCTCAAATTACATTTTTTGCCTCAGACTGAATTTTTTTTTATTTGACTCTTTGTAGCTCTTACCTCTATTCCTCAAGGTAATTCCTGCATTGCAGTTATACAATTGGTTTTTTGTGTTCAGTTATTTTAACAAAGTGAGTTGGTTTTAATCAATTGCTTGCTGCATAGAGTCATTGCTGTGAGTTGGACATCCATAAAAATTAAATAAATAGAAGTGGAGACTGGGCAAAAGTTTTCTAACATCTCTAGATACAAGAGGGTTCTGAATGTTATATTTGGAATTTCAAATTCCAAAATGTACCTCCAAATATATTAATATTGGGGGATTAATTCATTTTATTATGAGCAATATCAATTTTTAGAATTATAATTATATTGTTATAACAATAATTAAAGTAATAATACCCATTCATCTGAAAAAAAATGTAAATCGATAACCACTCACTTTTACTGCAGCCAAATAGGTTGTGGATATCCAAATTGCTAGCATTGGGAACACAGTTGTCACATTTTAAGCCAGCTGCAAATTGTTTACACATACATTGTCCAGTAATGGGATGACAAGTCCAATTAATAGCTCCAGCAGGATGACAATTACAATGCTGACATCTATAAACAAAAACAAATCATGAAAGTAATGAAAACACATTAACAGTTCAGTTAGACACAGTAGAGCTTAATTCACTGGCTTCTTTTAACTAACATAATTAGTATCACAAATGAAGAACTTAAGAAACTCAACTCTGGTAGGGAAAAACTTAACTGTATTTAAATAAAGGGTTGTGTCCCAAATTTACACTACTGTACATTGTTTTCTCATTTAACCACTGATCTTAAATGTGTCTGTGGTGGATTTGCAAAAGTTAAAGACAGTAGAACAGGCTATAGAGACATAAACAGTTGTTCAAATGATCTAGTCCCAAATCATATAAGACTTTATACATCATATTACCCTTGTACTGAAACAGTTACACTGATCACTAGTTGCTTTCTGAGCTCAGTTCATATGCACAATGTTTTATCTAACTAAATGTAGTGTTAAAAATGAATAATCAAACAAAGATGTGCAATGTCCCCTTGGCTATTAAATGTGTTTACAGATTAAATGTATAATGATTGTGGTGATTTTAGAAGTATACATGTTGGGAATATAAAATTTATGTGTTACTTAATTTGCTACATAAGCCAGGTTATCGGCCAAGAACCTGAATGATTTGCTTAAAATATTAGATAATTTTATTGACCTGAAAATTAATATTTCAAAGACCAAGGTGGGCTATGTTTTACAAGAGAAATTGGACAACATTGTAAAGTTATACATAAGGATGACTTTCTGCAGGTTGATAGAAAATTCTCTCTGTGTGTGTGCGCGTGTGTGTGTGTGTGTAAGTAATTCAGATATAGTACTATCCAATATAGTTCAGCACAACCTTAAATGTTTTATCCAAAAAGGACCATGCAAACTGCTCCCTGGGCACCTTAGAGGATACTAGAACCTTGCCCAGAACCAACAAGGGCTATGTCACTTAGCCAAAATCAAAAAATGTTTTATTACCTTAGTTCTCTGGAACTAAATCAGATAGGAAGCCCACTTGGTTTTGAATATATTTAAAATAGTCCACAATCTTTACAGCATTAGCATTATGGTAACACATATATTGCAGGATCCAATCTGAGTTGGTCACCAGAATCAAAGGTGTATTTGGTCACTAGGATGAAAGCTTTCAGGCTCATGCTGGAGCCCATCCTCAGGAAACCTCTAACTCTCCAGAATGTGTGCACCCAGGTTTTGTGTAGTTGTGTTTTGGACGTTAATTAGCATATTGATGGATGGCTAGTAAGTTGGTAGTTGTTTTCTTGTGTCACTATGCCATCAGTTCCTAAGTGCTTGATAAGCTAGCAGTAAATCAGCACTCCTATTGCCTGATAAGGGGTCCATTTCCCAGGCTTCAATCATTTCTCTGGCTATTTTTGTCTCTGCCTGGCCAACAGTCTTAGTAGCTGTGAAATTGAATGCCTGTCCTTGTTCGTTGCAATGTGAGGCTACCATCACCTATATTGCTACACAATTAAATTGTTATCATAATTATTCAATCACACACCCTCGTGTTTTGTCATTTATAACTTTCTATGTATTATAGAGCAGCCCCTGCCAAGTGATATGGAGTTTAACACATCCAAAAAACACCCACAAACCAACAAACCCTGATGTTGCATGTATGCTTAATAACTTGCTGTCTGACATTCTGAAGAAAGGGAGCTTTACAAGAACTATAGTGATTATTCTAGGCATGCTTAATCAGAAATAAACTCTTCTTACTTCAACAGGCTTTGTTCTATATAAATTCCAGCCAAGCATCTTCACTGAAATATTCTGCAAGAGGCCCAGTCAGAAAACTCAGTGTTTTTGCTGAGTCTACACAAGCATGGTATACTTTATCCTCCCTCCCTCTATGTACTCCAGTATAAACCCTCCCTCTAGCTTTCCAATAACTCTGCTCAATTATTCCCCACAAAAACATAGTATTCTATCCAGCCAGTGTAAGAAAATAGATAAACCTACTCTGAGACTACTGAAAAGTAGCAGTTGCTCATCTGACTATTTCATTGTTTAAGTTAGCACACCAGATATCAAATTTAAACCTACGGAAGACAGCCTCTGTTGGGTAGAGCTTTTACTTCACGGTTTAATAATATGGCAACTTCTGTAACACTTAATAACTTTGGACTATAGCCAATAAAGTTAACAAAAGCATTTCCTCTTGCACAAGTTGGAGCATTTAATTTTCACAAGTGCTCCCAAACCACCCATAAGTACCTTCTGTTCCACTCATAACTCTGCTGTTACAGATTGCAATATCTTCTGGAACCGAATGGTATGGATGATAGCAATGCATAATGTTGGGGTGGGGTGGGGGTGGGGGGAAACTCAGATGCTTTTGACTCAGATGAGAATTGTTGGTAAGTCAGGAATGAGCCACTCATGGCCTCAAGGGCACAATGATGAAATTCAGTGGCAAACCAACAACACAATCAGTGACACAATTTTTGTTTTTTTAAAAATGAAATAAACGCACATACATCTGTGAAGCCTCTGCTCGGTTTAATTCATACTTCTAATATATCTCTTCCCCCCCACCCATCCCAAAAGAAGAGATTTTACATATTCCCTCTAGTGTTATTTTCACACCTCCATGGTACCATCAGTTCCTAGAGGCCAAATAAAAAATAAAAAATGCCAGTCCCCATGCTATATTAAAGGATTCAAACAACTCTTGATAAACAGGACTACTAAGTGGATCCCAGGGGAAAAAAACTCTAGTTAAAAACGATTTGCTAGTTGTATAGTATTTGATATTTATTGCCTCATTGTGATGAGGCGAGGGGGTATTTGAGTGTCCTTGAGAGAAATGCACATAGACCATCCAACGTGCCAAAAGTATTTACTTCTAGTATGATTACCTAAGGCTTGAAAGTCTTTCCAACTGCCTAGATAAAGGGATGAGCCTTTATTGGCCAGCAGTAATATAGGAAGATTATATCAAGAGGCAAATGATCAAAGTAATTATTTCATACCCAGCGGAAGAAGGCAATAGTAAACCACACTTGTATTTTTATGGGGGGGGGGGAACACAAATAAGAACTCTACATGAAAAAGAGGTGCCAGATGTTCAAGTTGGTTCTGAAAAGCCTGAAGAACAGTAGGCATTATTGTTGCTGATACATACTGGAAAATTGAGAAAGTCAAAGAACACCAAAAAGAAGTCAACATGTGCATCACTGATTATAGAAATAGCCAATCATATCAAGTTATGGAATGTGCTTAAAAATGAAAGTCCTAGAAACACTTCATTGTCTTCACAAGAAACCTCATGAACTTTATGTCGAAAAAGACTCCAGTGAATCTCACGGACAGCCAAGAAAACAAACCAATGGATCATCGAACAAATTAACCAGAGTTTTCACTTGAAGCGCAGATGACCAAATTAAAATTATCTATTTCAAATAAATTATGTGAAGACCTTGATTTCTGGAGAAGGTTCTAAGGCTAGGAAATATGGTATGAAGGAGAAGAGGATGACTGCAACAAGATGGATGGGTTCAATTCAAGTGACAAGGGATGACAATGGAAGACCTGAAGGGCAATTTTAAGGATAGACCATCATTGAGAAAAATCAATCTATGTGGTCACTAAGAGTTGACACTAATTTGATGACACATAATAAAAAAGCTTCACATTGTTAACATTTTTTAATCAGAGGGAAAAGAAAAAAAAAACATTTATTGGAAGGCAATGATCTGTTTCACCCTGAACTATTATAAGGAGGCACATTCTCCTTTCATCATTTCCTAACTTACTGTGGTGAGAAACTTTGCAATGAGTTTTTAGTAGCCATAACTAGAAGGGGGTAAAATGCCTTAAATGCTTTGGGTCATGCTACTTGAAGGGATGCTTTCATCCACATCCATCTGTCCTATTTTAATGTTAAGAACAGGCCCCTTTTATTTTGTACCCTTTGAGGGGTGGTAAGAGTCACCATTCTTCATTAAATACAGAACAAGTTGCTATCTAACAATTTTTTGAGCTCTAGCACAGCCAGTTTTAAGGAATCTTTAAAGGCATATTCATATATTCAAGCAATCCCTTTAGTGCTTTCATTTTTCTAAAATTAGATGCTTTTCAGTATCAAAATTCAAACAATGGATTTTAATTACTGCTTTTTTGTTAGATTTGTAAATGTTTTATTCTGACTTCATTATTGTAAGACACCTTAAAGAAGCCCAGAGGTATTTTAACTGAACAAAGCAAGCTATGTGAATATCTTATATATTTCTTATTTTCCTGCAGCATATCTCTCTTTTGGGGAAAAAAAATCAGAACACTCTTTAGAGAAACTTATTAAATGTGTAAAAAATATTTCAATATATTTACATAAAATAGATTATATACAACTGACCGTTATGACAGATTATTTTAAACAGTTTTATAATGTCTTACTATTACTATTTTTTTAAGGAGTTTTAAAGACTTTTTTTTAAAGGAGTTGTTGTTGGTTGTTTTTTGGTAACTCTTATTGTGTGATCTCCTGAGTTCAACACCCTTTAAAAGGCTGATAAAAGCTAAAGCAGCAAAATAAGCTGCAAATTTGTTTTATGGAATAATATCCCTTTGGGACTAAATAATAATAAAAATATTATTTCTTTCCTGAAAAGTACATCACTGTCATTTCTTTTCTTTCACAGTCTCTCACAGAAATATTATTTTTCCCAGAACTGTATTAAATTCTTTCATCTGTATAAAGTCAAGCTAAATCCCCTTTCAAACAGAGATTGCTTAATCTCTGAACATAACAATACATAATGTTATATTTGAGAAATATATAAAATTGAGTGTGTTATGTGATATAGTCATTTTACAATATTTTATAGTTTATGTTTTCTTCACAGATTTTTTACTTAGTTTTTATTCTAGATGATGGGGTATGATGTATCTCAGCCAGCGAAATTAGAGAATAGTTTTCCCAAGTATGATTAGCTCATCAGAATAATTTAAATCAGAAAAAGAACACAAGTTGAATGACATAATGTACTTCATAGAATATTAGTTCAGAAACCCTTGTATGAACCATTATAAAGCAGACCAAATTGCTAATCTCCTATTGTTACTGAGACCTAATAGTAAGATATTTCAGCATGTTGATATTCTATGTTAAATTACTTTCAATATTTTATTACAACTTGAGAGAAGAAATGCTCTTCTCATCACCCAACATATAGCATTTTTATTAAGGTGAAATTGGGGCATAGGGCCACAAACTGCCCATTGGCCATCTCAAACTGCCCCACACATGGTTCCCTTTCTAGTCCCTGGTGGTAGTGGATCAATACAAAAATCTAGAAGACTGACAGAGAGATGTAAATATAAATATAAACAAGTGTTTCTCCCATACTTCTGCTGGGAACTATAACATTTAATTTATGGCAGAAGGCAGTTTATAGATAGTTGTCAACTTATGGTCATCAGCTTAACAATTACAAAAGTGATGACAGTGATGTTGACAGTGATGTTGCAGAGTGGGAAGTGTTATTGTGAGCTCCTGAAGATATTTATTTATTTTATATTACATACCCCACCTTTATTATTTTTATCAATAAGCCCAGACTGCAAACATATCCACCACACTTTCCTCCTCCTATTTTCTAAGATAGATAGATAGATAGATAGATAGATAGATAGATAGATAGATAGATGATAGATAGATAGATAGATAGACAGACAGACAGATAGATAGATATAGAGACAAATGATGTAGATATAGGTGACAAAGATATCTATTATATATAGATATACATATATATGTGAAATAAGTCAAAATCCAGTGCCATTTTGGAGATCTGCTCAAATGTATTATCGAAACTTTGCATTCATCCATTACTGAACTGTCCAGGATACTGATAAAAAGCTACTAGAAACTGGATTTTCTGTAACATTTCCTTAACTGCTTCCTCAAAGTACTTTCCTTCATTTCAACAGCTATATGAATATGAATCCAATTGGCTTAGCTTTGCAATAAAAACTTACTTCCCAGTTTCTGAGTTGAATCCAAAATAGTTGTCACTACAATGGTCACATTTCATCCCAGATACAGAAGAATCATGGCAAACACACTGGCCTGTGAGAGTGTCACAAGTATTGCTGACTGAGCCACTTGGATGGCACAAACAGGGAAGGCAGCTGCTCTCACGAGGTGCACAAATATAAAAACCTAATAAAGAAAGAACAGTGTAAAATATGTGTTGTCACAGATGTGTCACAAACTGGAAAAAATACTAAAGGAATGGAAAATAAAAAGTGAAATTGGAATTAAAAATTACAGGATCACTTACATTCTTTTAGGACATTACTTTCATCCTAAAGTGTTACAGTTATTTTTAAGTGAAAAGTCTGAGGCATCTGTGATAAAATGTATAGCAGCTTTTATCAAATTTGGTGTAATGTTAAGGCACTAGGCTAGAAATTAGGAAATCTCTCTCTCTCTCTAGTCTCTGTTTAGGCTTGAAAACCACCTGTATGAACTCGGGCCAATCACTCTCTCTCTCCACAACTCACATCACAAGATTGATGTTCTGAAGAGAAAAGAGTATTAAGTATGTTCACAATTTTGAGTTATTTATAAAAAAAAAGCAGAATAAAAATAAATTAAAAACTTTTTAAAAATGAGCAAATATAAGACTTATCATCCTATCTTTTACTTCCAAGTATTTTTATGATAGTGTTTTTAATACATTTTCTACCACCAGGCTAATATTGAAATAGGTTGTATATTATCTTGGTGATTCTAAGACTTTAATGAATTTTAGTTGAGATACTGATGAAATAAGCTGTCACCCACACACTCATACATTCCATTAAGGATAATAACAAATGGATTAATGTTAAAGAAAATGACAGGGAGTTTGCAATATGAATTTAATTTTCCCTTTCCTTAAAGAAATATTCAAATATGTTTAATATATATGAGATGGATAGTTGGGTGTTGGGTGGTCTTGGAAAGTTTAAAATACATTGCTTTAAAGCATCTGGAACTGCTATAAACAATAAACATACCAGTATTTTTTAATGGTTAAAATGGGCAAATGTTTCTTGGCTGCCTTTTATAATTTCTAATATTAGTCAAATCTCCTTCTGATCCAGGAGCTGATTGGGCAATTTAGTCCAATAGAAGTGAACATCAAGTTTATTGTCTCTGTTCCTTCATACTTCTTCTACCTATTTCAAATTACTAAAGTATTTATAAGAAATTAGGATAAAATTCAGCAGTTCGTCTTGGAGAGGGAGAGAATCGATGCACTAAAAGAAAATCGGAATTAAGTAGAAATTAAAACAACTCAGATGTATGATTTTATTACAAAAAATATGGAAATATACTTTCTATAAATGTCATTCATGCATAGTGATATAGCCAGCATTTTTATTATGCATTTACCAACCTCTAAATGAAAATATTTTATATTTCCTTGCCTCATACCTGACAAATCTTCATGAAATATACAGTTTTGGAACAAATGATATTCAGATTCAGCTAATAAGTAGTTAATCAATCTATATTTACAGTATATTGCGATATATACCATCTACAACTGCTAAGTATTTTAGCAACATTTGATTAGGAACGAAGTCAGTATTGAACCTTAATAGCCACATGGCCATATAGATAGCTTTTGTTCAGGATGATATGTTCCCAACCTGTCATTCTTGTGGAAGAAAAGATAAGACAGCAAATAGCAGCAAGGTGGATGGATGCAATTACAGTGACAATAGATGCACCACTAGAACACCTGAAGGGTCAGGTTAGGGGAAAATTATTCTAGCTAAGAATTATTTATTGATCACTTAGGAGAATACCAACCTAATGGCAAGGAATCAGTCACTTAATTGTGAAGTCCTTGGGATTTGATTCTGACAAGGACCATTAGAACACAAATGTTGTAATGTTATCTGTGTATTTTTAAATTGTGGAATTGAAATAACAATATGGTTATTAGATATGGTTTATACATGGTATAAATGGTATAAAATACTGGTAATTTGCCAGCAAAATATATGCTAATTAGTCTTGCCCAGCCAGTATTTCTAACTTAAGTATGTTCTTTTGGCATAATAGCCTCTGATTCAAATTGGCATATGTTTAAATTAGTTCCTTCTGTTGTGAATGGATATATCCAACATGCTTATTGAGGATTTCTATAACAAAGATTAGGAAGGAAATAAATATTTTACATACAATATAGCTTGCAAGATTGGATTTTACAAAATCTTAACAGAGATTTACAAAACATAGCAATCTTTTTCTTACCTGGCTTACACTTTTCACATCTTCTTCCCTGGCGGTGAGGCTGACAAATACATTGTCCACTGGTTTGGTCACATGCTGTTCCTGGAAGTGTCCCTAGAGGATCACAGTCACAAGGCATGCAGCCAAGAATATTTTGAGTAGTAAGGTTATACATATAAGGCCTGCACTGATTGCACTGAAGAGCAGTGACACCAGATTTGCAAGGACACTGTCCTGTCAATTTGTCACACACTAAAGAGCCATTTACAGAACCAGACTTATCACAGTTACACGGCACACAGAATGAAGCATTGTTTTGCCATTCTTTATAATACCCATTTAAGCAATCATCACATTGCCTTTCACCAAAGTTAGGCTTGCAAATACACTGTCCTGTTTTGGGATTGCACACTGTATCAGAAACCGATCCTGCTATTTGACAACTACAAGGTTTACAGCCAAAAGCATCCATCCAATAAAAGCCATCAATGCAGGTATCACAATGAAGTCCTTTAACCTCTTTCTTACAAGTGCACTGTCCAGTGGAAGGATTACACAAATTGTTCATGGAACCATGGATGTTACACAGGCAAGGCTCACACCCATCTTGCTTAATATTCTGGATGACTTTATATCCAGACTTGCACTGATCACACCTGAGACCTAAAAAGAGAAAATTCTTATTCAAAATAGTAATAAAATAACATAAATATATTATGTTGCAGTTGAAGCAGAACAGAACACAAGGAGCTTGTACGTTACAGTCTAGTAAGAAAGAATAAGATATCTAGGGCAACCCTTACAATTATATGTCTCCTTGATTGAAAAACTCTGTGAAAAATCCAACTAAAAACAACTCACAGCATCAAACTCAGCTACAAACTATAACTTAACATAACAAAACATGCTCCATTTATCCATAAAATACAGTAAAATCCAAAGCAGAAGCACAAGAGGATAAGTCCTAGATTGCTACTAGAGCTGGGATCAATGATGACTAACAGATATTACCTGAAATGTATGGAAAGCAATTGATTTGTAAATGCCATGTGCAGTCATAAAGTACATGCTTTAGAAACAGAGAGTCTCCAGTAATCTTAACTTTTCTGCACAGAGAATGGTAAATCATATAGAATAGAATAATAATAATAGAGTTGGAAGGGACCTTGGAGGTCGTCTAGTCCAAGCCTTGCTCAAGCAGGAGATCCTATACCATAGAGTTTCTAAAGTTTACAAAAAACTAACCCTAACCCTATCACTACTAAAATACAGTTGCTATGTGACTGGTGGTAAATTGAGGACTATCTGTATATATTTAAAGCTGATAAAATATAAAATCATTTCGTAAGCCACGCTAAGAAAATATTCCCAGTCTACCTCAATTATAATATTAAAGAACTATGTTTACAATCTTCCTTGTTTAATAAAATTAATTTGATTCCTCATGTAAATGTTAAACAGTAGCTGTACTCATCTAGATCTTCCCATGTTGCACGAAATCATATTACCTCAGATTGCTTCATATATATATAATACACACACACACACACACACACACAAACCCCTACATTTTAATTTTGAAGAAAAAAAGGAGAAAAAGAAAAGGACCACCAAACAATGTAATATGCCTCTATCAGTGTTCTTTTGAAAGTTAGTTTAGGCTGCCTTGAAGACTATGCATTTTTTAAAATCTTGAGGGAATATACAGTCTGTTAATTTAGAGGTGAAGGGAATACATTAAGATATGCTTCGCCTTTTTTAAAAATGATGATTTTAATTCTGAATTCTTTATTTAATAAATAAAATGAAATTGTAATTGTTCAGTTGTTTGTGTTACATGATAAATTAAATAAATCAGAAGTTCTCTGTTTTAACAAACATCTTCTTTCTTTCAAAAAGCCACATGGGTACACAAATTTATACTTAGAATATTGCATGTTGAGAAAACAAATCCCCAAACAGTGGGAAACATATTAGATATGGACAAAAAGTGGAGAACTCCAATAGAAGGCAAGTTCTTTCAGCAGTGATGAATGACTCACCTAAGGCATATCATTTAATTTCAATAAGGAAAATAAAAAAGAGCACTATTGCTGCAAATTTTAAAAATAACTGTATTGTTAACAAGAATTATGACTCATTTTGAACTATTAAAATTGGTCTTCATGGATTCATATCGCATCAGTTTTAAAAATATGCACCGTGCTTATTTGAATATGCCATACATATTCCTGACAGGTAATCTATTGCTAACGATACTAGGAAAGGCCTACAGGGCATCCCATTCAATGTTAACAAGTACAGGGGAGTTAACACGCTTGGCATTTAATTCACATTCTTCTCCCTTTTTTATTCTAGATAAATCACCTACTTTAATAAAATTATTGGTGCTAATGTATTTTAGTAGTGATAGGATCATTAGTAAGATTTAACAGTTGTGCTAACTTGAATAGGGCCTACTCTGTAACACTGCAGTGCTTAGTTACATTTTCTGTTATGAAGCTTGTTTAAACTGATACAGTGACAATCGCCTCTAAGGTTACTTGTACTGTATAACCAACATTTTTTTAAAGTATTCATGTTTATTTAAAATAAATACATATCTTTCATGTAGACTCTTGCAATATTTTGTTCAGCAGTTAAAAAAGAGCAATGGTGGGTACATCCGATTGCTTCCATATTTACTTACTAAATATGGAAGTTAATGTCCTACCTCATGGGAGGAAATGCTTTATATACTGCTTTCCCAAACAAATGGGGAAATATAAATTTGATATGGAATAGATAAGCAATACTTAAATAAGGCAAGTACTTAAGTAAGAACTTTTAATGTTAGTACTCCAGTGACAGAAATGTTTTGTCCAAACATTAGGCAAACATTTTCCCCAAGGTCTTTTATATAGGTACATACATATATCTGTTTACGCATGTGTTGTACAGTTACACATTAGAATAATATATTAAGTACCAATCATTTTATCCTTATTAATTTTCAAGACGATTTGTAAGTTTTATGCATTCTATATGTTTTCACCTTGTACTAGATAATTAGCTCCAAGGATAGTTACCCAAACAAACTCAAATGCCTTTGTCACAGTCTACCTCTACCCATGTACAGTTTTGTTCACTTTGTTCAGTGCTATATATAGAACTCACATATATGTGATCCTCCATATAAAATACTAAGGCA